ACTCTAACATTTTGGGCGAATGTGAGAACCATCACTGAGCAGATAAAGTGAGGGTAACTTAATCCTACTCAAAACGATATTTATAACATTTTATTTTAAGAAAATATTTACTTCTATTTGCATTGTCCGGCTCGGATACTTTTTTATCTTATCCTAAGTGTAAAATAAGTGTTATTTCTCAGCAAATGCGCTGTTTCAAGTTAATTAATTTTCTGATATTCTTGCTCATCACCTTTTATCGTATTATTGATGGATCATTGATAATTGCCAATTTTTTTTAATTTTTTAGTGAAAAAGGTCTCGTATTAAGGAAGACTAGAAGTGAGTTTGTAAACAATTAAAAGTTACAATACATTAGCACTTATTCTTTCAAGAAAAATGGAACCGCTTGCTCTTTTATCTTTATTTAACTTAGTTTTTACGATCTTGTCTTAAAAGTCTAATCCATCTAAAGATGTAATGGCATCTCACTCTTTTAGTGACTCACACCTTTAGTGAGATTGAATTTGAGATATTCCTCTTCTTTTATGTTTAGTTGTAATATATTTTAAACTATTAGTCTGTTAAATTTTTTTTCACGAATATAATTTTAAATATATCCATGGCAATTGCCTACTAGTTTGGTTATGGTTAAACCTATCATTTTCATAGGAAATTATAGGATAATGTTTTCTGCAGGTCTTCATCTTTATTGTCAATTTCCCCTGAATTCATCTTTTTGTATGGTTTATAAACTCTTTAAGAACTCATTTTATTTCTCATTGTTAGACCGATCCCTTGATGTGTGCATCCGTATTCGTGTGGAAAACCTAAGTTATTTCTCTTTATCTCATAATTATTTATTATCCCTGCTTCATTCTCCTTAGCTACAGAGGGAATTGAGGACTACAACGAGATGTTTGCTGAAGAAACGTTTGATTTGGGTGAAGAGGTGGTGATGGAATTCGATGAAACTGGGGCTTTGAGGCCTCACGCATGTCCCACACGAGCTGATAATTTGCACGATATTTCCCCTACAGATAGTCGCCTAATACCGCCTTATTCAGCCTTCTTCATCTTCACCAACACAAACAAGTTAGTTTATCTAGTTCGTTTGATTATCCTTTTTTCCATCCATGATAGCCTCTTATCATCAATTTCGTGGATTTTGGCGAAAAACTTACGGCTGTAAAATTATTATAAAGTATTTTTGAGTATTACTTCTTTTTTACAGTTGGGCTATTTTAAATTAAGGAAAATCAAACCGATTAGTTAGTTAGCAAAGTTAAAACTATTTCTTAATCGTTTTGGAAATCTTTGTCATAACCCTTTTACCACAAGCGTACATAATGTCATTTAGAATAGTTGGCGGCTCATAACTTGCTTATAACTTTTCCACTTTAGGCTAATCGTCTCAGGAAAAAGCCAGTCTTAGAAAGTTCAAAAGTGCTATATATTCAAGATAAGAAATGATTTTTGTGATGAGTGTTAGTATGAAATTTGTTTTTAGTCTCAAACTTTCTCTTTAATGTATGATTTAATTTTGAATCTCATGCCTTAAAGCATATAAAAAATAATATGTTTCATCAGTAGTCTCAGTAGTGCTAATTGGAACCTCTTTACTAATTAATGTTCAACTTGGAATTAGAGCTCTTTAAGCAAATAAATCATATCAAGTATGGTTTAAAAGGGATAAAATTTGTTAAAATACTTTAATATAGTACCAATATAATTTAAAGATAGTTACCTAACGACTTACACATTTAATCAGAACTTTTACACTTTCAAATAGGTAATTATTGGGGGAGGCAATTATATTATCAAATCAATATGGTGTGGTACCTGCAACTTTCATTATATTATCGTATGAAAGATTTTTCTTGAAATAATATTTTCTGAAAATCTTTTAACCTTGTTCTTTACTCAATTTTATTTTTATTTTCTAAACCAATAGACTTTAATTATTTAAAATTTAAACAATTTTATTCTTAAACTAATTTATGTAGACATTTACTCATCCTTATTTGCATTTATTTTTCATTCATATAAACTTTATTTAGGTTTCGAGTATTTTGCCACAACGTTGTCTGCTCCTCATATTTTAGCAACATAGTCCTCGCCTGTATCCTGATCAGCAGTGCGCTGCTTGCAGCAGAGGATCCACTAAGATCTAACTCCCGCAGAAATGAGGTAATATAGACCAGATGGTAATGGCAATTACGGAGCCTTAAACAAATAAATAACAAATAATAAACTGTCTTATTTTGGCCAAGGATTAACTACGTTACAAATATCAAATTATAATAACTGCACGTTTGTCCCTGAAATAGTTTAGCAACTAAAAGAATTCAAGCATAATTATAAAAGAAATTTCATTTTACTACTTTTGTGTCGATCACACTTCCTTGTTCACACACCTTCCAAACTGTTGCACACTATGAAAATTTCTATTTCATCCTTATTTCTTACATATCCTGCATGATTACACTCTTTGGGAATTTTCCGAATTC